CATCGAACCTTAAGTGTGTAGACCCTACGGGTTCGGGAGACATGCAGACATGACCGAGACGTTCTCCGGTCAATAACCAACAGCGGAATCTGGATACCCATGTTGGCTCCCACATGTTCCACGATGATCTCATCGGATGAACCACGATGTCAAGGACTCAATCAATCCCGTATACAATTCCCTTTGTCTAGCGGTATGGTACTTGCCCGAGATTCGATCGTCGGTATACCGATACCTTGTTCAATCTCGTTACCGGCAAGTCTCTTTACTCGTTCCGTAACACATCATCCCGTGATCAACCCCTTGGTCACATTGTGCACATTATGATGATGTCCTACCGAGTGGGCCCAGAGATACCTCTCCGTTTACATGGAGTGACAAATCCCAATCTCGATTCGTGCCAACCCAACAGACACTTTCAGAGATACCCGTAGTGTACCTTTATAGCCACCCAGTTACGTTGTGACGTTTGGCACACCCAAAGCACTCCTACGGTATCCGGGAGTTGCACAATCTCATGGTCTAAGGAAATGATACTTGACATTAGAAAAGCTTTAGCATACGAACTACATGATCTTGTGCTAGGCTTAGGATTGGGTCTTGTCCATCACATCATTCTCCTAATGATGTGATCCCGTTATCAACGACATCCAATGTCCATGGTCAGGAAACCGTAACCATCTATTGATCAACGAGCTAGTCAACTAGAGGCTTACTAGGGACATGGTGTTGTCTATGTATCCACACATGTATCTGAGTTTCCTATCAATACAATTCTAGCATGGATAATAAACGATTATCATGAACAAGGAAATATAATAATAATCAATTTATTATTGCCTCTAGGGCATATTTCCAACAATGACCACTCGCACCTCTTCTTCCATGATAGCCATTACCGCCTTCCCACCTCCACCATTCTCTCCACCAGAGCCCTCCATTTGCAGCGACAGGGGGATTGGACTACATCCTATTGATGCGATTGTACAGAGAGGAGGAGCTGCTGCTAGAGTTCGCGAGCGAGGTCTCGTGAGACAAGAGATTGAAGGAGCGGAGAGAAAACAGTAAGGGGCCTGAGGAGGAAGATGACAGGGCGAGTGGAGGGCAAAACACAGAGGTAGATGCGCAGCAGCAGTTCGACGACGGGGCGGGGGACGGCGGCGGCGCATGCGAAGGAACGGAGGAGCAGTTAGGGCATGTACATTGGTGCTATCTTACAAGTGTCACATAGGATAAATGTTGATATGGAGGAGAGAGAAATCATAAGAAAACGCTTGCCTTCTCTTATTTAAGAGATGACCTCTTAGCACGAGATGTCTCACCGCATTTTTAGGAATAGATAGTTATTGAAGATAAGACAAGATGTAATCCATTGTAGGCATGCTTTTTTTGTCGCCTCTAAATTACATGCAAGACCTAAGATAAGACTATTATATCAATCATTATACATGCCCTTATAGGGGATAATGGTGGCAACACAAACTTCGGCAAAGCTTTTTCCTTTTTTGAGACAGAAACCTGAGCGCGACCTGGGCCTAGGCGTTTCCCGGCCCGGTTACGGACAAGAATGGGAGCTTATTTTGCCGAGCAGCATCCCGCGAGATGGTGCAGGAAGCGCCCGAAAGACCTAGGGACAATCTACATCGTATGATAGAGAGATCCGATGGTTGCGAGATCCAAATCACTGGGGAGGCTCGTAGGTAACTGAGTCTTACTATTTTTTAATTTGCTTAGTTCAGTTATATATATTATAGCGTGTAGCAACGCACGTGCATTCTACTAGTTTCTATAGTCTACATGTATAGTTAAGTTACCATTTTACCACCAAATTGGATGCGCAACAATTGTTTTAGACCAATTTGGGAATGAATTTATAGATTGTTATAATTCTTCGGTTCAGGAACCATAATTTCAAAATTGGTGTTAGGTGGGTAAATTGCAGGACCACAAACCCAGAAGACATTTAGTTTTTGGTCATGACCTGTCCATTTGAGTCACTTTGGTTCAAATATCGGATGATTTTGCTCATGCTAGATGCTAAGCTGGATAATAAGATTGACCTAGCACGCTTGATAATGATCTGACCTGGCCTTGCTGAAGGCTGATTTTGGGCTAAAGTGACTCAACTGAATGAGTTATGAACAAAAAAATTTACATTTCTGTAGTTTGTGGATCAAAGTGAGTGCACGGGACAAGTTGATGTGTTAGTTATTTACTCATTTTAGGTGCATACGTGTAAGGTGTGATGTAGGGATATATACTTACTGTATTTATGCAAGTGTGCACTGATATTTATCATGGTTAGCAGCAAAATGATGACACAAATTAAGATACAGTGTATGCATGCAGCTGTATTCCTTGTGGGCATTTGTATAGGAGATCATGCTTGGAAGAGGTTGTTCATCGTCTTGGCTTCGGTGGCGGCGATGACGGTGCTGAATAAAGTTTCTTCATATCCTACTTCGACGAGGCGATCGGTGCTATGGTTGGGGACGGATCTGGAAATCAGACTGTTCAAGTAAGGATGGCATGGCGGCGGTGACATCCTCGTGGTGGACTTATGTCCTCAGGCTCCGCCGTCGGTGTTTGCCCCAGTGACGGTGCGGAGCTTGGGAGGCTAGGGGCAGATGCAGATTGTGATCTGCATCGGTGGCATATGAAAGATGGTGGATCATGTGTTGCCCAGGTTCGTGGTTTGTGATTGACAGGTGCGGTTTTATCCTACGGCGTCTTAGTCGTGTAGGGGTGCCAAATCTGGTGCTCGATGGCGTGTCCAGGGTGCTTCCTCGATCTGGTTCGTTCAACAGTAATGGTTTCGTCTTTGGTGAGCCACCTTTGAGATCCGGAAAGCTGCATATCAGCGATGGAGCCGCTTTGAACTTGGGTGTGAGGTTGATCCGTCATTTTTTTCTTTGCTGGCTGTTGTGGTGGTTCCAGAGACAGGTGACGGGCGTTGGTGTCAAGTTCAGAGCTTTCTTCGGTCTTCATTGTAATTTTACTTGTTGGTTGTTGTTTCTTTGTGCAAAGGCAAGCGTTCTGATGTCCTTTCAGTTTTGTTAGATCGGTTTATATGTGGCTTATACTATGATCTTTGTGATATAAATGAGACACCCATTACCATGAAAATAAAAAAGAGTGGCTGGCTGGATCGCACGAGAGCTCCACAGCCAAGGTACAGACACATGATGCTGCTGCTTCCATCGCTCGTAGCTAGCTAGAGCATCATGGATGCTCCCATGATGCATCATAATCCCATGGATAATTGCTTGTACTCGTGGTACTAATTTCTGATCTCGTCATCTCACTTCCACTCTACTATTTGCAGTGCCCTCAGTGCGGTTAGAGCTACAGCCACGGCGCAAATTACCAACCTCCATTGAACTTTATTTACCAAATTCGATCTGCACATGCTTACATGACGAAATTGATCGGTTGACGGCTGGAGGCGAGATCGCCTTCCTTTCTTCTCCTGAAAGAAAGAAAGCGTATGGTATGAGTCACCCCTAGACTATTAGGCCTTGTTTGGATGCGAGGGTAAATATTTCGACGGCATAGTCCCGTCGGCAACATTTGCGGCAGCGTACCTTGGGCAGTCCCTCGGCACAGACAAGCCATCAGCATAGAGGCCTATGCCGACGGCTTCCATACAGGCATCGGCAAACATTGACGCCTCATGGCGACTGACGGCGCCGTTGTCAACTGCTACCTACATGCCAGGACGCTACCAGTGGGCGCCACGTGTTGACTATGTCAACAGCCTGGCCGTCAGCTTATATAGCTATGCCGACTGCCTTGCCGTCGGCATAGGGAACACGTGTGCTCCCACTGGTAGCTCAACCCTACCCTTTGTTTGAATTCAATTCAAATACACAGTAGATATATATGATTAAATAGACATACACATCACATATAAATATCATCCTCACAACCAACACCACCACCATCACAACAACATAAATATCATC